TCTGGGGGGGCGGGAAGTGGGAGGGGCAGGGGCGGGGCTAGGGCGGGGCTCCTCCCGTCCTCTTTTTTGCTTGCTGAAATATGGTAACCCTACACTTGTCCTAGGCACCCCACAGCACTAGAGCTGGGCAAGATGGTGCCCCTGCAGCTGCTGCCATGGTCTCAGTGTGATTCTCTGTCAGTGTCTCACCCACTGAATTCCAACACCGTCTTTTGATCCATATCAAAATGCCTTTGCCTGTCCTGGGACCCCTGAACTTGGTCAATCTGATTTATGTATCTCTCCAAGAGGATCAGAGGCAGCCTTCCAGCAGTGAATTTGTTTGCTAAGACCTGCAATTGAGAGAGAATCACTATCTGCAGTCCTGGATTGCAAGCTATCACTTTAAGGGCGGGGAGGTTTCCTGCTCCTTGCAGGCCCAGGTGGTTCTGTATCAAAGTGTGTGAGCAGCATCAGTCTGGAAAGAATTAGCTTAAATCAGTTAAGCTCCCTCTCTGCCTTAGGGAGCAGCTTGTTTTCTCTCTGTGTTTCGAGGTTCATGTTTGTTATCATTCTCAATTTTACAAAATCCAGTAGTTATGCTGCAAACCTCACTCACTTCTCTAGGTGTATGCTGTGGTCATAACACTGCAGAGGTGTAAAACAACCCACAATTGAGTTAGCTCTTTGCCTGAATGCACCAGACAGCACAATAGTAATCCTAGAGGCAGAAATACATACAATATTTATAAAATATAATACAGATATCTCCAATGTTCATCACACCAGCTCTAGCCAGGATGATTATCCTTATGTATGATAAGAGGTGGAGAACTGAAGTCCTCAGAGACTCTCATTGAAGTTTCTTAGCTCACATATGTGGTAGCTTGAAGCTACAGGGCATCCAGACAGAGAGGGCTGAGGTCCAAGCAGTGGGGTATGTACTTGTTGCTACTTTGTTTTCTGTGTAACACTCCTTTACAGTTCTAGGAATCCATTGTCTTCAGGAGGCAGCTGCCATTTTCTTTTCAGTTCAGATGCATGTGCCACAGGAGACCCACACATTAGGGACTTCTTTCTTTCGTGTTAAAGCATAACCAGAGACCTCGTGTTGGTGCTCTGAGAAGAGAACTTAAAAGCAGACGAATGGTAAAATGACCACTTATGGGCCTTTGAAGGGCCTCCAGTTTAATGCAAAAGAAGAATCTGGCTAGAGTTTTGCTGTCTTTCCATGCAGATGCTGTTGAAGACAGTGGCATGAAAAGATCTGTTTTTCTAACTGTGCTGGGAAAGGTGCCTTTGGTAGCCCCTAATGCCTACCATGTCCCACAGGACCCAGGCACAATGGGGTTTAAGGACTTAGAGGAGGTTTATAAAGGTGTGGTGTGCCAAAATCATAATAGGCCCATAGTTCTATTACACAAAACACAGGATAGGCTCAGGGGAGGGACTGTAAGTGGCACGAGCCTTCTTGCTGTAGAGGCATGGGGAGGAACTGGGCAGCAGGCTCAGTACCTAGAGATCCCATTCGGAAGCAACAGGAAGCCTGGGGCCAGAGAACTCAAATGGGAAATCTCTGGGGATATGCTGGGAAACTTACAAGTGTAAGAATCTGGCCTGGGACCAGCAAGTTAAATACGAATCTGCAGGGAGGCAGCTGACCTTTAAGTTAGCCTGGGTCTTGTGCTCTGCAAGCCAGAGAGGCACCAGAAACTGGTCACCTGCTGAAGGCACTGGGAGGAGGAAGAGAGGCTCCAGGAGGGAGGTCACAGGCCATGCTGCAGTTCCTGGCCAATGTGGAGTTGGCTCTCGGGGTGGGGGCAGTGTGTGGAGACCCCCTGCCACCCTCCCTTCCGCCCTGAGGCCGCAGGGATGTGCCGGCCGTTTCTGGGAGCAGTGCAGAGCCAGGGCAGGTAGGAAGCCTGCCTTAGCCCCGCTGTGCCGCTGGACTTGCCGGGAGGAGTTGAGGAAGGGAGTGGGAGGGGTTGATCAGCGGGCCCGTGGACCCCCTGGAGTACCCTTGGGGACCCCAGATTTAGAAACGCTGGATTGGAAGGATTGTGAGCTGCAGATGGAAGGAGCAGTCAACAGACATGGGTACAGAAGCCAGCACATTTGGGGTATTCGATACTCAGGGTCTTTTGGGGAGGGTATATGAGGGGCACTGGGCACTTAACAGATATACAGGAATTTCACAAATAAAGGGCAGGGACTGCTTTGTGTCAGTATAGCGTCTAGTGCAGTGAGGTTGGTTTGTGGCTGAGATGCCTATTAATTAACAACAATAAATGAAGGTCACCATGCTGTGAGGAGCAGTTGGGGTGGGAAAAGTCACAGAGAGACCTCGATGCCATAGGGTGATGGGTGGGGCAAGTGAACTCGTCGTCTCTGACTGGAGAGTTACTGTACAGCAACAGGGAACAGATGATTTCGTGGTGGGTTTTCTCTGGTTTCCTTCTGCCCTTTACAAAAATCCCTGTTTGTGTGTCAGCCTGACTCTCCACACAGAACTGCCTGGCTTGCCTGCAGATCAGAAGCACGTTTGCTTTTGTGTCGTGGTTAGAGCTGGTTGGGAATTCTTGGGCAAAACTTTTTTTTATTGTGGCTGGAAGGCGCTGATTTGTCATACCAGTTTGGATAAAAGTTTCCTCAAGTCGGGATGGAATTTCTGGTCAGAGAGACAGACAGCTTGAGTGACTTTCCCATATTTAGTGTGGTCTTGTCCAGGGAGGAGATAACTTTGGAGTTGATAGCAGAATGGTTACTGCTTCAACTCGGCCTCTGTTGGATGAGTCTTGAGGTGAGTGGTAGAAGTGTAGGAGCACAGGATGCCCAGTAGTTAGGTTAGCTGGCATATTGGGAGACCTGGCTTCAAGTCCTTGCTCTTTTACAGGGTTGGGTGCGACCTTGGGAAAGCCAGGTGGGGGGAAGATTTTCAAAGTCACTTGAGCATGAAATTCCCATTAAAACAACGAGGAGTCCGGTGGCATCTTAAAGACTAACAGATTTATTTGGGCATAAGCTTTCGTGGGTAAAAAAACTACTTCTTTGGGGTTTTTACCCACGAAAACTTACGCCCAAATAAATCTGTTAGTCTTTAAGGTGCCACCGGATTCCTCGTTGTTTTTGTGGATACAGACTAACACGGCTACCCCTCTGATACTAAATTCCCATTGACTTTCAATGGGAGGCAAGTGCCATTTGTGCCTTTGAAAAATCTCCCTCTTTGTCTCTCTGTGCCTCAATTCCCACTCTTTAAAGTATGGGATAATAGCACTGCCCAACTTCACAGGGATGTTGTGAGGACAGGTACGTTAAAGATTGTGAGGTGCAGCATTATAGTAACAGGGGTCCTATATGTATAGAAAGGACTAACAGTGTTCAAGAAAGCTTCTTGTCCTTGCTTCCACCAGAGGGAGCCCCTCTGTCCAATAATGAACACTTATATCTCGCCTCCTGCTGCTTCTGGTCTATTTCATATTCGTGCAGCTTTGCAAAAGCATCTCAACGGCTAATCATCAGACAGCAGCTGCCAGGCAGGTGTCAGGCTTCTCTTTTCTTTTTTGATTTGATCTCTCTCTCTTTTAATATATTTCTTTTCAAAGGGTGGGCTCTGGCTTCCCTCTGGAACTGGCTCCTTAGAAGTGCATCTGCCTGAGGAATTCTGGGCTCAGGAGGATTTGGGGTTTTTTTTTAACACCTTTTCTTAGGGTCTTATTAAAAATAAGAAAGGTGCTAGGATGGAAAAGGAGAGCAGGATGCCTACCAGGTATGGATCATTGGAGTCAACCAAGTGGACAGCTGCAGACCCAGCCAAAGGTGAGAGTGCTTTGCATGCATGTGGAGCAGCCAGGCATCCCCTGAGATCCCTGCCCGATGAGAGAGCTCAGCCACCTCTCCAGGCAACGGACTCAAATCCGCACTCAGTGCCTGCAGAGCCTGCTGATGAATAACACACCGTCTGAGCTGGACCTCAGTTGGACTGGTCTCCTAGCTCCCTTCTCTACGCCCACCCCTGCTAGTGACTGTGATGGGGGTACACAGCAATCAGAGGGGGTGGATGTTTAGAAATGTTCGGTGCCTCTGATGGTTTTTCTCATCACCTTGAAAGTTTTACAAGGGTAAGACAGGGACTTTGCCATCCTCCCCCCTAGGGCTAGGGGGTTGTTGGTGGCACGGGGGGGAGGGTCTCGGGGTGCCCGCATAGCTCATTGGCAGGGTGAAGGCAATAGGCATTTTCAAAGCAGTCCTTTTCTGCTCAGCCGCAGGGACATAATAGTGGCAGGCACTGGAGGAAGCAGGTGATCAGGCTCATGAGTAGGAAAACTTGGCTGGGAACCAAGAGTTCTGTGTTCATTCACAAAATCAACTCACACCAGCTCTTCCAGGCGGGAGTTTGTGCTGCGAGAGCACAGAGGTGGCAAAACTCCAGCACCTTTGGGGACGCAGATGAGGGAAGGGATGGATGACGGGGTTAGAGTAAATGAGAAACGTCCTAGCTTGTCTCTCTGGGTGGAGAAAGTATTAAAAGATAACACATCAGTCCCCAGAGCCCCCCAAAGCTGTGACTGCCTTTGAAAAATGATCCCCTCCTGGCTCCAATGGCTCATTGTTAATATGATTCTTGAGAACATCATGGTGAATAATGAAGATGAGGGCAAGATTCAGGAATTTACACATTCACGATGCTGCTAAATATTATTAGTTTCTGCTTTACAGTTCCCCAAGTGAGTGTCTCAGGGCTGGCGGTTCCGGCAACAGCTGTGCTGGGGAGATTGATGGTTATCCATTTATCCAGAATATTTATGCTGAGTAGATGGTGTCTATTTATTCAAGTACGCAACTGTGTGATCAATGCCACCACAGAAATCTACATCCTGGGAGAGGTAGCTGGGCTTCAGATACACAGCAGCAGCTCTTTTATCGGCTGCTACATAACAGTGTGGGGAGTGTGGGCTAGTGGTTAGAGCAATGAGCCAATGGGAGGGGGCAGGACTCCAAGGTTCTCTTCCAGATGCAGCTGCTCGTTTGCTCTGTTTTCTCAGGAACCTCATTTCCCTGCTCTGTACCTGTTTCTCCCCCTGTGAAATGGGGATGATCACAGAACTGTAGAGCTGAAAGGGACCTCGAGAGGTCATCATGTCTGGCCCCTTGCACTGAGGCAGGACCAAGTAAACACAGACCATCCTGACAGGGGTTTGTCCAACCTGTTCTTAAAAACCTCCAATGACGGGGATTCCACAACCTCCCTTGGGAGCCTTTTCCAGAGCTTAACTACCCATAGAGTTAGAAAGTTTTTCCTAATATCTAACCTAAATCTGTATGCTGCAGATTAAGCCCATTACTTCTTGTCCTACCTTCAGTAGATGTGGAGAACAACTGATCACTGTCCTCTTTATAACAGCCCTTAACATATTTGAAGGCTGTTATGAACTCTTCCCTTCTCATGACTAAACATACTGAGTTGTTTCAACCTTTCCTATAGGTCACATTTTCTAAATATTTTATCATTGTTGCTCTCCTCTACACACTCTCCAGTTTGTCCACATCTTTCCTAAAGTGTGGCAGCCGGAGCTGGGACACAGTACGCCAGCTGAGGCCTTACTAGTGCTCAGTAGAATGGGACAATTACCTCCCATGTCTTACACACAACACTCCTGTTAATACATCCCAGAATGACATTAGCCTCTTTTGCAACGGCATCACATTGACTCATATTCAATGTGTGATCCACTATGACCCCCAGATCCTTTTCAGCAGTTCTACCACTTAGCCAGTTATTCCCCATTTTGTAGTTGTGCATTTGATTTTTCCTTCCTACATGAAGTACTTTGCACTTCTCTTTATTGAATTTCATCTTGTTGATTTCAGACCAATTCTCTAATTTGTTGAGATCATTTTGAATGCTAATTCTGTCCTTCAAAGTGCTTGCAACCCCTCCCATCTTGGTGTGCTGTGCAGATTTTATAAGCACATTCTCCACTCCATTATCCAAATCATTAATGAAAATATTGAATAGTACCAGACCCAGGATCAACCCCTGCAGGACCGCACTAGATACACCCTCCCAGTTTGATGCCCATCATTGATGATTACTCTTTAAGTACAGTCTGTCAGCCAGTTTTGCATCCACTTTATAGTAATTTAATCTGGACAACATTTCCCTAGTTTGCCTATGACAATGTCATGTGGGACTGTGTCAGAAATCTTCCCTCCCCAGGGGCGCAGGTGGGCTTTTGAGGCTTAATTAATTCATGCTTTCCTTGTATGGAAGGTGATGCAATCCTACAGTGGTAATGCTGTACTGTTCATATTGTGCTTTCTCTACCTCAGCAATGGGCAGGGAGTGGAGCCCAAATCTAGGGCTGACCAGAAAACAAAAATTCTGATTTGTGGAACATGTGGAGGTTTTGACATTTGTTTCTGTTCCAACTAGAGCAAAACAGAGACCTTTTGAAATTTTTTGTGAGTCAGAGAAACACACCCAAGAATAGCCAATAGCCCAGTGTGAGAGCAGTCACCTGGAATGTAGTAGAGCCAGGATTAAGTCCCTGATTTGGAGCAGAGACATGAATCTGGGTTTCCCACATCCCAGATAGTACTCACACCACCAGGCTGTTCTGGGGCAGGTCTCTGTTTGATTTTGACCATAAGATCCCCCCTGGACCTGATAAACCTTTCCTGACCAAAGTGGCATCGCAACCAATGTATTTCCTTGAAAAGTTTTGGTTTGATGAATCAGCATTTTCCAGCAAAAAAATGTATCTCTGCAAAATTCTTGACTGACTCGTCTTAACTTTCCCTCTCTCAATCCTGATATCACACCTGGCTCACACTTTGCTCCTTTCTCTGGAGCCTTCCATCCAGCCATTCTCTGAGCTCCCCACTTCCGTCTTCTGCCAATTACATATCTTCCCTTATTGAACTAATTACCTCCTTAGCCCAGCCATTGCCCCCAAGTGTCAACAATCTCCACCATAATAGGTTAATTTCTCCCAATTAAGCCAATATATATTCTCTGTTACACAAGTGACCAGGGTTCTACAGCTAGCACTCTGTCGCAGAGATCACAGGATCTGGCTGTGCTACGAGTACCCGGAGGAGATCACGTGAATCCAGAGGTTGACTGACTTCAGAAAATGCTCCAAAACCTTTCTCCTCAACAAAGCCTTTGCACTGTGAGACCAAGACTCACATACAGATATCCCCTTCCCCCCCAAACCTCAACACTGACCTTCCCTTCCTCCCCAAACCTCAACACTGACCCCCTTCCACCCCACACCCCAAAAGTGACCTTCCCATACACCCCCAAAGCTCAACACTAACCCCCTTCCACCCAACACTGACGTTCCCTTACACCCCAACCTTCAAAACTGACCCCCTTACACCCCAACACTGACCCCCTTCAACTCAACACTGACCCCCCTTCTGCCCAACAATGACCCCCAAACCTCAACACTGACCCCCCTTTGATCCAATACACCCCAACATTGACCCTCCTTCTATATCCACGCTCCATCGCTGAGCCCTCTTCTATCCAATGAACCTCATATCTGACCTCCCTTCTACCCAATAAGCCCCAAACATTGACCCCCTTCTACTCCAAACACCAAAAGTGACCTCCATTCTACCCCCAAAACCCAACACTGACCACTTCTACTTCCCTCAAATCCCCCAAACTGACCCCCTTCTCCCCTTAATTCTCCCAACACTGATACCCCCTCAACCCTTAAACTCCAAATATGACCCCCTTCTGCACCAAACCCAAACACTTACGTTACCTTCCTTCTTCCCAATAAACCTCAACCCTGACCGCTTTCAGCCCCCAAAACGCCATCCATTGGTATGACCCAGTATGGCCATTCTTACATTCTTATGTGATCAAGTCATCCCTTAACCTTCTCTTTGTTAAGCTAAGTCTATCACTATAAGTCATATTTTCTAATCCTTTATTCATTCTCGTGGCTGTTCTTTGAACCTCTTCAATTTATCAACATCCCTCTTGAATTGTGGGCACCAGACCTGGACACAGCACTCCAGCAACGATCACACCAGTGCACAATACAGAGGTAAAATATCCTCTCTACTTCTATTTGAGATTTCCATTTATGCATCCAAGAATTGCATTAGCCCTTTTGGGTCCCATATTTCTAGTCATATGTAATCACAGTAGCTTTGGGGTAGCAGTTCTGCCTGCCTAGACTGTGCCAGCATTTCAGACTGCTCTGCGGGCTCCTGTTGGCTCAGTGCCATGGCACCGGCCCCCAGCACACACATGCTCACCCTTCCTGACAAACCACTGGCTCTGGCAAAGAGATTGCTTGCTGAGCAACAAAAATTATTAAATTTGGCAGCTCTCAAGACTTCTGGAGAAGTCTTGAAAAGTCTTGCAAAAGCTCAGCTTTTGCAATTGATTCCACCCTCGATAGAATGTGTGACCTCCTGGGACATTGGTGTAGGCTTAGTCACATGTCACCGGGGCTGTTTTAAGTAGAGGCGTCTGGAGTTCCTGCATCAATGTGTGGGAGTGTCCAGCTTGGGCTGTAGATCTGTTGTTAGGTAGGAGGCCTCTAAGGAAAACCCAGGTTGCTGAATCAGACCTGGAGATAATGCCCCTGCAGGGCTCTAGGGGGGGCTGTGCTACCAAAGGATGAGAGGTAAAACTTTGCCCCTCATCATTTTTGGTCCTTAAGCATCCACTAGCCTTTGCTGCAAGCATTTGGTTGTGGACAATGATTCCCTGGTTGCTGCCTTCAGCCTCCATGGTCTCTCCGTGGGGTTTCAATAGGAGCAGTGTGACAGATCCAGGGTGGCAGATG